CGTTTCAGATATTAAATGTGAAAATGTCAATGCAAGAGAACTTTAAAAACTTTATTCTGATGTTGAGTGGTAGCACTAACAATTCTTTTTTTTTTTTTTTTTTGAACAAAGACAAAGGCTGGTGACAGACAAGATGCCATTGCATGTGCTGATAGAGCGTTACCTCCCTATGGAGTACAGGAAGCTACTGATTCCAGTTGCTGTGAGTGGAAATAAAGTGATCCCCAGCAAATCAATGTGGTCCTCTGGGAAGTGGTGAGCCCTGTGGGTGGGAACACAACCTACTGGAAGAACATAACTTTGAGCAGTCACATGGAACAACCTAATGTGATGGTTTTCCACAAGAAATTCCTGGGGCAAGAAACAGTTGACTTTGTCTTGAACTTACAGACATTGTGCCGTGGCTGTCATGCCAGCCCACTGGATCTCGCTAATTATTATTACGAGTAATTTGACTATCCTTTAGTTTTGTATCTTATGTTTGAGCATTGAATAAATAAAATGTGGTATGTATTCTGCGTGATAGAAATGTTCCTTATTCCAGTGAGACGAAAGCTTACCTCCTGGCTGCTGTGTTTTCATTGTGCTCCTAATAGACCCTTGCTTCTATTGGTGCTCTTCATACCAACTAATTGTTTGTTCAGACGAGATGCTATGAACTGCCTTATGAAAAGATGATGATCCTTTTTACAGCTGTGTGTGTGTATGTATATATTTACAACAGGGGCTTTCAAACTTAGGATCTTATCCCACTTAGTAAGTCTAGCTTGTGTCAAGAATAGCTCATAGTTCTTCTAGTTCTTCTGTGAAAACAGCTGTTTACTGATGGAAATTCAAACGGGAAAACATACTATATACATATATATAAAATCTCATGGGCATTAGCAAGCAATAATTTAAGACCATTTGAGAGGTAACGTTTTCTGGTTCACGCATGGTAGATGAAGAACTGGGAGAGAGCGCAGGGGAGTTGGAGTGATCTTTAAGGTCCCTTCCGACCCAGAGGATTCTGTGATAAACCCGATATATACAACTAAGTCAAGGTTTTGGTAGTGGAGGTGCTGCAGGGGTGGCCTCTGTGTAGAAGCCAGGAGGTGCCCTGTGTTAGAGCCAGTTCCAGCCAGCTCCAAAACACTCATTGCTGGCCAAAACTGAGCCCATCAGCAATGCTGGTGGCATCTCTTTCTTAACATATTTAAGAAAGGATAAAAATGCTGTACAACCTCTGTGAGAAGGAGGATTGAGAAGAGAGAAGCAGCCCTGCAGCCCCCCAGGTCAGTGCAGGAGGTGCACTGGAGGGGAACGTAGCAGCAGTTCCCCTGCGGCCTGTGGTGAGGCCCCTGCTGCAGGCTGTCCCCCTGCAGCCTGTGGGGAATGATGGTGGAGCAGATCTCCACGCTGCAGCACCTGGAAGAGCCCATGGTGGACGTGGCCTGAAAGAGGCTGCAGTGTGGAGAGCCCCTGCTGGAGCAGGCTCCTGGCAGTAACTGCAGCTTGTAAGAGGAGCTGAAGCAGGAGCAGGCTTTCTAGCAGGAACTGCGGTCTGTGGGGGGGTCACGCTGGAGCAGTAAGAACTTGGAGTGCAGCTGGTGGAAAGGACGTGTGTTGGAGCAGTTCGTGAAGGTCTGTATCCTGTGGGAGGGACCCCAGATCAGACAGTGTGGGGAGCAAGGAGCAGCAGAGATGAAGTTATGGACTGGCGGCAGCCCGCGTTCCTCATCCCCCTGTGGTGCTTGGAGAGGGGAGGAAGTAGAAGGGTTGGAGTGAATTTGAGCCTTGGAAGAAGAAGGGAGTAGGTGTTTTTAGTTTTGTATTTTTCCCACTGTCCTATTTTAATCAGCAATAAATTAATCTTCCCCAAGCCAAGTCCGTTTTGCCCACGATGGCAATTGCTAAATGATCTCCCTGTCATTATCTTTGCCCAGGTCTTGTCCTGTTGAAGAAGAGAGAAAGCAGCTGGGTGGCTGTCAGCCAGCTATGGCTCAGCCAGCACACCGTGTATTGGGGCACTTGTTTGTTTCAAACACACGCTCAGAGCTGAAGGCTGTGCTTCTGCGGGTGTTTTCTGATGCCAGCCCTGGTGCTGCACTCAAACTGCGTGTTGCTTGCAGCAAGTCAAAAATAGTCGGTTACCTCTCTTCTCTAAGAGTTAGCTCAATGTTGTGATGTTGTAATGGCCAGAACCCTGCTGGAATGGTGGCACTCCAACCCTCCAAGGTTTAAACTGAATTTATATATGGCAATGCATTTGGGAAGTCAGTGCTCTGGTCTCAGGCATGGTGTACAGTTCGTTGATTGCTACACAAAGCAGCTGATCAGTGCTGCTCCCTAGTGAATGTTGCCAAACATGTAGGAAGGCAATAGAAACGAAATCCTTGCGTATGATTTTACTGCTTACAGTGAACCTAAACCACAGCAGGAATGAGGTCAGCCGCATCAGAGAATTTTTAAGGTGCAAAGAATGATGGCTTTCTAAAAACAATTCACAAGCTGGGAAAGAATGAACATCATTTTTCCTGTTTTACGTGCTAATATGCTTTATGTTTATTTAGCTAGTCTGCAGTTCCCAAGGTAAGACACTTAAAGTGCTTATTTATTTTCAAAGAGAAAAAAATAATAGTTTTTCCCCTTAATTATTAGCTGCTCTGTCTTGGACTTGGAAACTTGAGCTTTTAAATAGTTTAATTTGACTTAAAAATTTGAGTCTTTACATTGATTAATTTTTAGTTGTCTGTGAGGAAGGGATGACTCAAGGCTGTTGCTTTGCAGTATCCTTAATCAGACGAAGTGGGGCTGAACACAGTCAGCATTGCCAGCTGGGGTCAGTCAAACATCGTGCCAGGGGCTCTTTCCTATATGCTGAACATGTCTAGACTGAAGAAGTGGAGTAACAGCCTTTGTGTTTTTTTATTTTTCCCCCCACTTCTCTTGCACTGTAGAAATGTTCTAGAACTACTGGGAACTGTTTTCCCTCTTCTTAGATCCATGAGGAAGACTTGCTTCCTGAAAAGTGCCGTGTGACTTCCCAGGTGTCTGAAATTGGAGATCCAAATGGTACAGTTAATAGGACTCCTGGAAATCCAACCCAGCTCTTGGCAGAAACATTTGCATGTTTGACAAGCTTTGCACAACACTAAAGGAAATGAAGGCCAATTATAGTTCAAGTCTTTTTTTGGCAGGCAGTACCGACACAAAGGTCGGTCATTTTCAAGTTTTTTTTTTTTTTTTTAAAGTAATTCCATTAATATAGAAAAGATGGCTATTTTTTCAACAGCTATAAGGAAATAGCTTTGTCTTAACTGACATATTACAAAATTAGTACCTTTTTAATATTCATTTTCTGCCATTATGTGACTTTTTTAGTGTGTGCTTGAGGCTTTGCATGCCAGGGCTTGAAAATCTTGATCTGAAATATTAATGAATTTTCAGCTTCCTTTTTCTCTGTTGCTGAAACATGCAAGAGCCCTGTTTTCTGAAGAGCATTTAAGGAGAGAATAGGGAGAACATCCCAGGAAGTTGTTGGTTCCTGTTGTAAAATGAAGAGGTAAGATTCCTTATCCGTTCTCTCTTCTGTTGAAAAGTGTTCTGTTGCTCTAGCTAACTAAACTCAAGACTTTTAGGGACAGATTGCCATCTTTAATGTGCTAACAATGTAACTGGAAGGACAAAAGAAAGAACCCCTGGTTACAGGGCCATGTGTTTAACTTTTTGGAATCTGAAGTCCTTGGGTAAAGCAAAACAAGTGATTCTTGCTCTCTGTAGCCCAGTGCTTTCTTGAGGAGCTTTGCAAATTTGATGTTAATCTACCAAACTTATCCTCTGTGTTTAAATTCCCTGCTCTTTTTAGATGCACTGAATTTTTTCATGTTACAGCTATTCTTTCCAGAATACTCCTAGAGATATGTGCAGTTAGAGCATTTGATTTCTAGCGAGATGATGCATTTCCCTTTTCAGTGCTTTTATAGTTCCATTTTGGGTATTTTGCAGTTTGAGTTGGAAGTACATAGCACCAAATCCAGTATTCAAGGAAGAAATCCCAGGGACTTCACAGACCCAGTGGTACTTACTTTGTCATACTGGCTATGATACGTTTCCAGTTTACAAATGCCATCAGTATTTGCAGGAATCCCTTTGCAACTGCTCATGAAACTAGCACTTTGTTAGGAAGGTATCTTCTGAATTCAGCTTTGCTTTTTCTTGCTTTTTAAACTATGAGACTAATAGGCTTGAGTTTGTTTGCTCCACTTATTCAGCAATTTAGGTAGCAGAGCTCTTTCCAACGGGGTTTTAGTTTCAAGAACCTGTATTATTCCCCTTGCTGGAGAGGGAGGGCACTAATGAACAGGAAAAATTAATTGGTGTCAGTGGTTGGAAAGACAGTTACCAAAATTCATGTGGTATCTTCCTTGAAGCAGGAAGCAGACTTCAATGTTTCTGTACTAGGATTATTTTTTCAGCTCAGAGTTGGTTAAACCTACTCTTGAGGCATCACTTGAATTTCTTTCAGAGTGACTTCATACAGGACAACAGCAGCTACCTCAGGATAAAAATCTGCTTGGGGAAAGACGTGACAGCAAACCTGGTTGGGTTGAACTTGCCTTTCACTTGCACAGGGATTGTGTTGATGGCACCTTACTCTGCAAATGTATCTTTGAAACCTTTCTCTGAGCCCAAGAACCAACCATGAGGCCTATCTTGCAAAAACCCTAAAGCAGCCACGTTGTAGCCTTGAGTTTGATAGAAGCTCCCAGGTTCAGGCAATGACTGTTGGAGCAGTCACTGCATCATCAACAAAAGAGCCCAACACCCAGTGGTGCCCCAGTGCCCTGAGGATGTCAGTCCTTTTTTGGGATCAGGCTGCCTCTGCCTGCGAGTCTTGCTGAGCTGAAATGACTGCATAAGCGGAAAAACTGTACCAGAGGGCTTTGCTTTAGCTGAAAGTGCATCTGATAGTTCCAACTATCTTATCTCAGCTGGTAGTTTTTAGGCGTCTCTCTACATACATGGAAGAGGTATTTAATGCAGTAACTTTGACGCTCAGCTTTGTATCAAAAACTGAAGATCAAACAGGCTATTTATTCTTAGTACTGGAAGTCTCCGTACTCTCCTACACAGTCTGTCTTGCTTTCTTCCCTGGCTGCGGGCCCCACGCGTCTCACATCTCCAGCAAGTAGTCTTTCCAGTGCAGTGTCCACAGGCACAACTTCTTGGTCTGTCTGTTCTCTTCCAACTTCATAGACCAGGCCAATGTAGGTATCTAGTGTCTGACCGTCAATATCAGGATCAATCGTGCAGAAGGCTGCCTTCAGGTCTTCTGCATTCACCTCTCTGTTCAAAGAACAATTTCGTCATTTGCTGTGCTGCGGCATGGGAAAGGAATATTTATGTATTTGTGCCACAGCGAGAATCCACTTTGCTTGAAATGCAGAGCAGAGAGACCTTTTGATATTATCTCTGCTTCCACTAGTATTTTTTTTTTTAAATATGCATGTAATAAAGTTGAGTACTAAATCTCAAACTGAAAAGAAGTTAGGAAAAGTTAGATTTCTACTAACCTGGGAAGACTTTAATTCTGCTCTGTTGTGCTTTATGATACCCTTTGTTACATAATTACATTTTCCCTTGTTAATCCAGTACCCACCTTTGTCAGTACTTAACTTCCTGGGCATCTAACTCGCTTTCAGTGTTATCCTCATTGATTGGTTCCTGGCACAAGACTTCTCTAAGCAAAAACTACATGTTGCTTGTCTTGTTTTCAGGTGGAATTATTTATCTGATTTTCACCTTCAAGTCTGCAGTTGTCAGTCCTGCTTGTTTTTCTCATTCCTCAGAAGCAGTCTCTGAGGACATACAGGATTTTACTGCTGTTTTTGGAGAGCTGAAGAATGTCAACAGACAGACTTCAATTGCTGAAGCAATCTTCTCTACTCACTGTCTGTCGTATCCCTTACAGGCTGTGTCTGTCCTGCCTCTTCTTTGCCTTGTGCTCTCCCATTGCTGCTCCCAGTGAGCCTGTTCACTCTCATCTTGTTAGTTTTCTCATCCTGAGTCACCCTCCACATCTTTAGTTCCTTTCCTGACCCTTCCACACCTCACCTCCTGCTGTTATTCCCACTCCTTGGCAAATGCTACTGTTCTCCCTGACTCACTACTTTGCAAAACCAGACTAGGGAGTAGTGACGCCTGGGTTTTTGGCAGCACCTCCAGTCCACATCCCCCAAATACTCCTCCTTACCTGGAGGCTCCCAGCACTGTCTGCTCTTTCCACCCATTTACTCCTCTTCCATCTTGGCTTCCAGCACACTTGTATCTCTGTTCTTGACCTCCACTAGGCCTTTCCACATTTTTTTTTCCTGGTCTAATGTGTTGATCCCATCTACCCTCTCTTCTCTGCTTCCCTCTGATTCCCTGATTGTCAGGCTATAGGCTCCTGTCTGACCATGGTTTCCCTTGCTCATCTCATGCTTCAGCAGTGAGCAGAGTATGCCATAGATGCTCAGTCCCCTGGTGGATTCCAGAATCTTTATCCTGCTCCTTTCTTGCCTTTCTCCATGCTAGCATTGCTGTTAGGGGACTCATCCTTTGCACTGCTTGAGCATCTCTGTGGTGTCACTGCAGGCACAGGAGCAATTCAAGACCAGACCCAGTGCATGGGCACAGCAAGGTGTATTTACAACTGTGTATTTACAGCTGGGACCTTGTGATAGCCCCTGCAGTTGCCACACACTTGTGTCCACTGGGGGGTTCTCTTTGCACACATTGTTCTGATCTATCGTCCCCATCAGCCTGTTCCCTTTATACTTACTTTAAGTCTCCTAGGTTGTTCCTCAGCTCTCTCAGATACTCCTGCTTCTCACGGACGTACTGACTCCTGATCTTTGCAACAAAAGGTTCAGGGTTCCCCTCTTCATCCTGAAGGAAATTGCAGGCATGTTAGTACTGAAAATGTGTTTTTCCCAGTCTGGGTAGGAGCCATTCCCCATTGTATGCTAAAATAACTCAGCTTTCCTAGAAATGGAATTTTCATGAGAAAAGTGTAAATAAAGAGAAAATATGGGAAAACTCCTATCACAGAAAAGGCACAGACTTGCACTGCAGATATCTGCAGTTGTCTGCAGCTTACTTTCAGGTGTTACAGCCTGCGGTGAGCACTGCAGGCTGTGGTAGTCTGGTAAACCTAGTTAACCTGACAAATCTCATTTAAGTCCTCTGCCTAAATCTGAGTCAAAAGGAAAACATAGATAACATCAGCTTACTTCTTTGAATAAGGATTTGTAGTCAATGAGATCTTCAGTGCTGTCTAGCTGGTATCTGCTTGCATCAATGAGTTCTTGGATTGAACCTCGTCTTTTCAGGGGAAAAGCTTCCCTCAGAGCCATCCTGTATGGAGACAGGCAACACAACATCCTGTTACAGTATGAGCAGTTAACAAGTGCCAGTATGGCTGGCAGTGTTTTAGGTTACAAGAGTATGCCCATATTCCATGGGCCAAATCTTCAAAAATTAATTGCTTTTAAGAGGATGCACATTTCGAGAAGTACAGGCATCTTCAGGTAACAAAACAAAGGCACAGTTTTCATCAGAGCTTTGGCTTCAGGTGAGCATTGGATGCTCAGCCATTTGGGAATCTATGAATGCGATGTGAGCATCAGTTAGCTGGTAGCTAGCATGTCTGTACTGGAGCTGTGTTCCCAGCTGAAGTGCTGGAAATGGCTGCTGCTGCTTCTCTGTGCCATAGCCCAAAGAAATGCTTTATCTACCTATTGCTTAAAAAAGCACACGTGATTGATCAACTGAGAGAAGACTGACAAATCCTGCAGCTGTAGCGGAATTCACAGAAATGCTTTGTGACCTGTCCTAGGAGCTCACGGGAGCACTGTGTAGGGTTCTGAAACTTCTCAAACTGCTCCCCAGGGAGCCTCGGTGGGGAGAGGTGCTGCCAGCCTGTCTCTCTGTATGTGTAAACTACCCCACATCTATTCTCAGATATCTCCACATTCACTACTCCAAACTTGCAGTATTCACATTATTCTAAACCTAATGCAGAAGTTCACAAGTACAGACTTGCTACAGCTGTCCTCACAAGAATTTTAAAGACAAAAACTGCTCCCCTGGCTGTGCTGACAGATAAGCAAAGCAGACACACTCAGCATATCACAACATCCAGCGTGCACCACATATTGGGCAGAGCTTAGTGGGCAATGGTCATCCTCTTGCCTGAACTGCTCGCTGGTCAGGGATCCGCTGTTTGAGCTGTCGCAGGCAGCCAGCTCCTTTTGCAGGTTTGAAATCAGCTGATTCTGGATGTGGTACTGTTCTTCACCTACCTGTGAAACAGGGAAGGTTCACAGATCAGTAACTGCCTTTTCTCTCATCCCTTGGACTACCTTCAAGAGGGAAGCAAAACTGCAAAAGGACTGCAGTTGCTTCTAAAAAAGAAAATTGACCTGAAGTGCGTTTAGTGATTTACAGAGGTGCAGCACTGGGCTGCAGGTTGCCTACCTTCCCTGTGAGTATGTTGTAGAATGAGCTCATGACGTGGTTTGATGGACAGAGTCGCATGTTCTCATACAGGGTGTAAGACCATTCCATGGCAGAGGTGTCTCCATACCTCTTCTGGAGGTAGCTGAGAAAGAACTCGGGAAGAACAGGTCGCTTCCCTGTCTGCGGATAACAAGCAAGCAAATCCCATAAGCAGCAGAGCTAAATCAAATTTGCCAGTTTGATTTCAGCTGTTTGTGTGTAGTTGTCTTTTGTGGACCTCTGCTAACAGGGCTAGTGCTGGCTGGAGTCTTCCCTGCTATTAGGTCATTCAAAATGTTTCTGCTAGGTTTAATCTCTACAGCCTGCATGTGGAAGTCACACTAAAGCTCTTCTGTTGCTGAGAATACTGATAAAGTCTCTTTTCTCCTGCCTACTGTTGTGAATTATATAGGAACTTGCTATAGATTTAGCTGTCAGATTTAGCTGAGCTTAGCTTGTGGGTTCAGACCTGGAGTGGTTGTTGAAGAGAAGTAAAGCCAGACAGTGATTGCAACATCCCTATTTCCCCAGGAAACCTAGCTGAAAGTAAAAGGAAAGCTGCCATAGAAAACATTAAACTGTTTGGGGCTGACCTCAGAGATATTTCTAGGCTTCTGGCTCAAGAGAAGAAACCTGTAAAGTGGCTCTGCCTCTCAAGGTTGTTCTCATAACTGAGGCACAGTAACAGGGCTTGTCAGATATCTGGGGAGATGGTATTGTACTTAAACAGCTACTTTTCTTCTGTTGCTGAGTCTTGATCTCCCCAGGCAGGCAGCCAAATGTCTGTCTTGGCTGAGAACACACCTCACCCCTTTGGCCTCCACCTGCACTCCTAACCCACCCTGGCCAACGAAGAGGGAAGTATTTGTGTGTGTAACAAACCCAAAGCACTTTCATAGTCATTTGTTTAATGATATAAGTGGTTTCTCAGTCCTTGCTTCCTCATTTTTTTTCTGGCAGTGCCACTTGTTCTCTGGCACGAGCACAAAACCCTATGTACCTTAGTAATGGTTTGGCATGGGTTAGAATCAACTCCCTTCCCCTGCCCATAAAAAAAAAAAAAAAAGAAAAAGAAAAAAAAACTGGCCATGCTTTGGCTGCACAGATTTTGCTAATGCATCCATTGCCTAAGAACAGACACCGCATAGTCATGGTGCTCTCCAGACCAGGATGTTATCATCACACCCCAGAATAGCAGCAGTTGGTAGACCAACTGATAAGGTTTCAGACTCAAAAGCATGGCTGATTTAGCTCAGGGTGACTGCAATGCTTCCTCCCCTGGGCACCCTGCCTTGTGGCTTCTTCAGGGACACCTCAGCTGCTCTTGCAACAGCTGTTGGACCACTGTAGTTTTCAGCCCTGTACATCAAAGTGGTGCTGACTTGTGGTCTCCTGGATGTTTCTGAATTTGCAGTGGTGACTAGGCATGAGCTGTGCCATGAGTACTCAGCTGTCCCTGGAACAGGAGCTGCAGAAGAAGCCTTTTAGGCATAGGATGGTGCTAGTCCAGCTATCCACCTGACAATGTTATAATTAATGAGTCAGATCCATGAGGACACCTGCCAGGCCACAAGGTTACCAACTGAGGCTGTTCTTAAAATGCTTTACGCAGCTTTATGCAGATGAAACCCTAGGCAGGACATGGGTGAGACCCTGTTTTCCCAAAATCTTCAAGCTGGGCTGACTGTCACAGCAAATGCTGTTTACAAAGAAAGAACATCTGACAAACCTGCTGTTCTAGTGCAATTTTCTCTTTCCAGATGTCTTTCAGGATGTCCACCACATCCTTCTTAGTCAGCTTTTTGTTCTTGACTTCGCCTACATGTCTGAGGTATACAGGAACCTTGTCCCCTTTGCCCTAAGTAATGGAAAAGAAACATATAGAGATAAGGCATTCCCCCCACTGGCAGCCAGAGCTGTATTCTTAGTGCCTAAAACCATTAAAAAGGAGCCATTTGTATGGCTCTCATTTCCACTACTATGAGACAGCATCTCTGCAGTGTGTCTCAGCTACTCCAGGGTGAGAACTTAGAACTTAGTTCATGAGTGATTTTTGATTGACAAAATCTTTGTGTCCAGGCAGTTTTGAGTATATCTGATCTCTAGTGTCATGTATTTGCAGACAGTGAGATGTTAATTTGACTCGGCTATATAGTGGAGAATTAGTAAGGGGCTCTAGCCCACTAGTATGATCTGCATGCCTTCATGTAGCATTGCTGCAGTGTGTGGCTACTTCAGCTGTCTTCAACATGCTCACTCTCTAGTTCAGCTTTTCTATTGCAGCTGAGTGTCCCCAGCTTTAATTTCTTCCATGGTTACACTAATGGGAAGGTGAGCATTGAAGACACGAAGTCCAGTCATGAACGCAATTCTGCCACTTTCCTAGAGGATTCTTATTGCCAGTTAATCTCAGTGGAAACAAGCAGAGGAGAAAGCTTGCACATACCCGTCCAGGGAAGACATTCATCTCTTTTAGTAGTCTTGTTCCTATTTCTTCCAGAAGTACATCCACTAGCTGATCGCTGGTTTTCCCCTCAGCCAGACAGCCCCACCGGTCAGCTCCGCCAGGAATCACTTCTGCAAGAGCAAAAAGTTCCTGAGCTGCTGCAAGAGGAGAATGTGCCTATGCATACTGGTTTTGTGTGAATCCATGAGGAGCATTATAATAATTACAGATCTCTAGACATCCAGTTTGTCTCCTATGATATCTAAGGCAAAATGGAATAGCCTGCAAGCTCCTCTCTCTCCCTCTCTCTCAGGCTGCTTCACTAAAAGCCTAGGAGAAAACGGGATGTTGCAGGTAAGAAATATACCACAGCAAAGAGGTTAAAGATGAGCTGAATACAGGTGGCACCTGAACACTTTGCCCAGTTTGGCCGAGGTGTGCAACTGCGCTGAGCTTGCTGGAGTTCAGTGAAGAAGTTGTCTCGCTCTTCTGCAGTCTCTCTCTGAATTTCCAGCAGTGTTTGATATTCCTTATGGAGCTGATCAAAATCCTTCTTCAGAGTCTCCATCTAAAGTACACAGGAAGAAGGATTTTAACAAACTATCTACAGCAACAGAATTTTTCTGTGGTTGGACAGATCAGGTGAACAGTCAGTATAGTCCATGGATTTATGGAGAGCAATCCCTGGCTAATTGCTTTTAGATTGGATGAAAAATAATTATTTTTTCTTGTTACCATTTCCAGAAACTTCAGACAAAATGTTAGTGACCCTTCTATATCTGTTTCTGTATTTAAAAGCAGACCTTAATTTACTAGAAAATAGAAGGAGAAAGTTTTTTCTAGACATCTTATGTGCATCTGCTTCAGATCCATTGGTCTTTAGTTGTTTTTTTTTTTTTTTTTTATGTGATTCATTTTTGTTTTACTGGTACAAAAGTACATCACAATGCAGAGATAACCACAGCTCTAGTCTGGCTTTTGAGGGCTGTGTCTGTGTCTGTTATGCCACGATGTAGGGACACGTACAGTGGATCAAGCTGTGCAAATGGTCAGGGCTGGAATGGAGCTGCCAGTGGCCCAAATGTGTCCTGAACAGAGCAACATGGCTTTTCTGACACACAAAGACATGCAGTATTTTCTTGCCTCACGGGGGGTTCTCACCCAACTCTCACCACAGCTGTGCGCTGGTTACATGGTGGGATTCAAGGTATTCTCTTTTTCTTCCTCCTAGAGAGTAGTTTGTGGGGCCACTGCAGGGTTGGAAGCAGACCCTATCCTCATCACTGGTGTTGTGTTATCCCTTTGCTGTCTGACATGGCATTGCTTATGTGGAAGTGCAAGATGTGTAAGCTAAGCAGTCAAACCTTTATTCTGAAAAGGCAGCAAACACATGCAACGTGAGGAACCTCATCCACTTCTATCACAGCTGGAAATTGCATTGATCAGCTCTGTGATGAGGTTGATGACCCTGGCATTGCAGTAGGGTAAAGAAGCCATTTAATACTATTGGAAAAGGCAAAAACCCAGCTAGACAGAAATTAATTCATAGCCCAGCTCAGCAGTAGTTTCACTTAGCTGTGGTTTGGACAAAACTGTGCCATGTATGTGAGATGAACCTAGTTAATTTACGTATATTTATGATGATTTCAAACAGTATTTCCCAAGCTGTAATCTGCAGGCTTTTGGTGGTCTTTTGGCTGTTATTGCTTTCATGGTGTTATTCGGTTTAAACAGATGTTAAAGGTTTGTGATGGTGTACTGATTTTGAGTGTTCAGATAGTCTGTGATACCAAAAGACTGTGAGCTTTAGGGGATTAGAAAACAGTGGCTTTTCATGTATTTCATGTAGAAGCAACAAAGATGTGCCTATATGGGAGCTCTGGATTTACGGAATCCCTATCCCAACCTGAATACTTAAGCATCATTATGTTTGCATTCATGTGGTACAGCTTGAAAATTAGGAGCTTATGCTCACCTCCTGTTGTAAATCAGAGTATTTTTTCTCCAGTGACTCAAACTCTCTCCGGGGGACAACATCTCCATAGTCTGCTATCATTGCATTCAGCTTCACCTGGGTTTTTGTGAGGTCCTGCCGAGCTATCTTTAATGCCAAAGTTAACTTCACCACATCTTCACCCTTGACATCTTTAAACAACAGCCATTGATGAAAATTTATGACAGTAAAACTGCAGTCATAGTTTTCTAAATCATCTACTGAGCTCCTAGATCACACAACCCTACACAGTGACCACAAAAGCTGAATAGGTATGGACTGTGTTATGAGTAGAGAACTGCAGGTCTTGGAGTAACCTGCAGTGTTTACATTCACATTACTGTTTACATTACCATCCTGCCTGCTCTCCCATACACATACATATTCAAAGGCTCAGGCTTGGTTTTCATTAGAAAGGAAAGGAGCACAGGCCGGGAGACCTCTTAGGCAGATGCGACAGCTGTAGCCAGTGAGTATGAACCAGTAGAATGATGGGTGCCTGTAGCCAGACTGTGGATCAACAGAGATCCCATACTGAAAGGGTCCCTACCAGCTCTGTGCCACCAATGCCAGTAAGTTGCAGAAATGAAGGTATTTGCAGCTCCGGAATTTCATAAGTTCATCTTTGTGGACAAGCATCAAGGTGCCAGCTATGGCTGGGTAAGATGTGATGACTGTTGGCACAGGAGTCAAAAAAAGATAAAAGAACCTTTGCACTGGGCAGCTCCTGCCTTCAATTTACCCGTAATGCTAATTAAGAACATACAAGTATATAAGCAACGGCTTATTGAATCAGGTCAGACTATTAGGAGGTACATCCCTGCCTACATATTCATGGATATTTTGTCTATGAATTTGTCTAGCTTACTGTAAGAATCGGAGCATATCTAATGATATTGCTGAGAAACTCAACACTGTACCCACGGGTATGCACTTGGGTCTCTGGGCAGGACAGGTTGTTATGGAGATCCACTTTCCCTACCTTGGACTTGGCGCTGTTTCACGTTCAGCTGTTCGTTATGCATATCATTCAGTTTTGCTAGAAGCAGTTTGCGGGCACCGTGCTCATTGAGGTAGCGAGTATATTCCTCAGCTACGCTCGTCTGCAGACGCTCCACCTGCAGGAAACAGAGGCTTGAATTTACCAGGAGCACAGAGCAGAACCTAAGGAGCAGAGAGTGGTGTAAGGGGTGCAAAGTGGGGAAAAAAAATGCAGCAAGAGAGTGGGTGAGAGATAACACTGTAGAAAAGGATGGCCTGATGGAAACATGACAGAAGGATTCAAACTCTGAAGAAGTGTGTAGAAGAGTGCTCCATCTGTGTTTAGCCTTCTAGAAAGTGAATTACATAAGTTTCATGCTCTGGGTTACACCACTCCTCTGTTGTAAACCTTATCTAGAAAAACCTCCCAGTAATGTATTCTGTTGCTGGTCACGCAGGAAAAAAAGCCGCTACTCTTCCCGTAGGCAAAACTATCAGAAATCTGGAACTCTATGGACTGGGATTACGTGTAAAATTGTAGTTTACTCCCATGATGTGCATTTCATTACAAGATCACATCCTGCCACTGCTGATACCTACCTTATGCCCTACATAGGGAATGAATCATAATGAATGAAGGTGTTCTTTTATTTTCCCCCCACCTATGGCTGGATCCTGGGGCTAACTGCCTCATCTGGAACTGTTGATGAAGACTTAGCAGCCCCCTGCTCAAGTGCTCTGAGACTACCCTGGTGGGTCGTGGCTCTGACTGCACTGAAAATCACTCTCAGCTCCTGGCTCATCCTTCCTCATGGAGCAGCTCTGCTCGTGTTGCTCTCTAGCAGTAGTATTATTTCAGCCTCAGTGCCTGAAACTGTTTGAGACCTGCGTAAACCAACAACTTAAATTGGAAAGACTTAAATAATCTTGTCAGTAGATACCAATGTAACTCACTGGCAGGAGGATGAATGATACAGATTTAAAGATGCTAAAGGTACAATGTTGTAAGGAGTACGTGTACTTTTAAGTGAGAACTTAAAATGCTAGTACTAGAATTTTCTTCCTCACTTTAAATGTGACTCTGCAAGAACCAGATGGGACAACAGATACAAGTGAAGACCTCTGACAGCAGCAGAACAGCCTATCCCAAGGGAACAGGATGTTCTCTAGAGCTGGCTGAGATCCAGTATCACTACTGTACCAGATCCAGTATGCCAGATGCTCAGTGCCCGCTCCAGAACTACTACTGACATCAAAGGATGAGAGGCTGGGAGGCAAGAGATTAGATGTATAAAAGACATCTAATTGAAGCTGGGAAATGTTTGACTCATAGTCTAATTTACCTGAGTCTGAAGAGAACTCTTCTCTTCCTTCATGTCGTCAATAAATTTTAACAAATGTTGTTTCTCTTGCTTTAACATATTTATTTCAACTTTCTCCTTTTCCTGCAGTGCCAATATCTGCTGGGAGCACTCCTCAGACACAGTTGTGACCATAGCCTTCAGGGGTTCTAGGGCACGAATTGTCTCCTTCTGATGAGCTAAAGAAAGCAGAGGTGGGTTCTCACAATGAGCAGCAAAGCCTGAATTTTACTCAGCTGGGATGTTGGATATTCAACCCAAAAACAGTGCGTGTTGGAAGTGGGAGTGAACACAGGGCTTTTACTGCCTGTCCTGGTGAGCCTCTAAGGAGTGGGAGTAGTGTAGTTTGAGATCATATTCTGTCTTTTATCTAGCTGTGCATATGAACTTCATAAGCGTTGTTATGTGAGGGTTTCTGGTTTTAGTTAATGCTGTTTATTATGGTTTGGAAAACAAAGGATGAACAGTATTTTATTTTGTTTTCTTGAGTATTTACAGTTTTGATGAAATATAATAAGCACAGGTGACTTCACATTTCACTAGGTGGGAAGTTGTCATTGTTTAAGCACAGGCAGCACATGGAGCTAAAGACAGCTAGTAATTAGTAGCTTACCATCTTTTGTGAAGGCACATTCTCCATAAACTTTGATCTGCTTTCTTGTCTCCAAATTCACGGTCTTGTGCAACCTTTAGTTTACAAACATGTCTGCATGTTCTCCTCTCTATTCAGGAATGCACTGGCTTCTTTTGCATTTCTCATCAGTACATCTAGTAAAGAACTTATGCACATACTGGCTTTCTCTGCTGTAATTTGTACTTTTCACTTGCAGCTACTTCCCCTTCGACTTGAAAATTTTCCTTAAAATACATATCTGGCAAGACTAGTTCTGGTACTTGACTTGGGTCCCAGTTACTGTTACATGGTAGAATTTCATCTGACACCATCTCCTTGGTGTGGAGGATTGTTTTTATGACTAGGTGGAAGTCCACCAGGAGAATAAAATGCTTGACAGGATATGGTGTGAGTCAAATGAGGCTGTGGCAAAGGTTTTGATTGCTGAGTAAGGCACACACAGCAATACCCTCTTTGAACAGAAGGGTAGAAATGCTGGTGGATGCTCAATAATCTGATTTGCAGATTTTTCCCTCATTGATAAAACCCAATATTAGTATTCATGTATAAATACTGTGCAACAAACCTTGTATTTTAAAACTTAAAATGCATACATAAATCTAAGAACAGGAACTACTTCTCTTATTATACTTGGGTGTGAGTTTCCTTCCTGCACTGTAACTGTACCAAAGGTTTTTCAAAACTCTTTCCACTTGTACTAGGACAGCTCCCCAAGAGAGAGCAAAAATTAGAGCATTAGCATAGGGATTCTGCCACCGTACTATTTGGGTTCTCAGTGTAAGCTAAGAACACCATGTTAAAACTTCAGCAGACTTGTTCTGGGGTGTAATTTGAGTGTTTCACAACTGGCTCCTGACCACACGCAAACCCCTTTAAGTGCAACAGCATGCTTAATTGTAGCTGCCTAGTATGTCAGAAGCTAGACTGAGCACAACTAGTTGACTGCCAAAGTGATTATTTTGTAGTGTGGATGCTGGCCAGTGCCATTTAAGAACATTAGCTCTCTGATGACCTCTCATAACTCATGCCAAGAAAGGAGAGACATTCTCCCACTTGGAAAGAATTCAGGCTGTGGTACAGCTCATTGCACGTATAGGACAGTTGAATGTGCCCAGATGTCTCACCAGCACAGAGGAGCAGATGTGAAGCCTCTGTGGACACAGCAATCTCAGTATAATTTTAATCAAGAAATGGATGCAGCTGTGGATAACATTGTTGTGAAGACCTACCCTGTCACTCTTTTTCCTCTTAAAGGAGCTCCCAAAACAGAATCTTTATCTCAGATTAAGCTAACAGCTGTGGGGATTTGATAGCTCTCCTTCACCGTGCTACATCTCAAATACTACTTAATATCTTCACATTCATGTGGATTTACTCCAGAAACAATGCTAATAAAGCCTCAGTGCTGTCTCAGCACAACCTTAATAACCAAAAGAGCTGCAGCTGCAGTCATACGTCCAGTTCTGGCAGAAGACAAATAATTGCAAGCAGCCAGTACAGGCTGCACATCCCTGTTCCTATTAGAGGCTTCTGCTTTCTCTGGTCTGTGTGCTCAGCTATGCTACTCCAGACTTTGTGCTGCCAAAGCGATGCAGCTAAACATACAGTGTAAGCAGTACAGTATTAGGACAATATTTAATTAAGTAGTAAGTTTTTATTTTTTATTTCTTTAAAAATAGATTATTCTGACTGAACTGGGGATATGCAGTAATGCTAGCACATTTATAGGGAGAACTCCCACCAGCAGTGAATGCAGTGTTGAGCACCTTCAATGTCATACAGTCCAAGCTAGCATGGAATACGACTGGCAGAAAAAAGAGCAAGATAAAGTTGTTAAATCACTCAGACAAAAAGATAATAGTTGGCTGAGAAAAACAATGTTGTGTTGTAGAGGGGGGTTAGGTTCTGCTTCAAAAGGAGCTGAAATGCTGTAGATACAGCATGCTTGCTAGGTCATAACCAGTTATGCAGTCATACATCATTTAAGAATAAGAATAATTTAAGATAAATAGTTAGGAGAACAGTTCTACAAATCAGTTATTTTCCTTCCTTTTCTCTTTTATACTTTCTGTTCTTAAGACACTTACTTTTGTCTCTTCCGAAATATAAAGTTATCATAAAGGATACATTTTACTGCATGTCCAGAGACTTCAAAGAATAAAAAGGAGAAATACCATATCCAAGCAATATGGAGGAGTCAAAAAAAACCCCAACATTTAAATACAAAAGATAGTTAAATATATTAAAAAAAAAAAAGGCTTCAGAAAGCAGTACAATATAGACTGCAGCACAGACTAGTAATTTCTCTGGGATCTGAAGCAAAGAAATGTTTGCTAAAGAGTTCTGGAAGGAAACTGATAGTTTAAAAAATGTTTTTATGTAATGATTAATACTGACTCATTTATATGACTGAAGTGCACTGCACAAAGAAAGATTTTTGCCTACAATGAGTGATTAGGTAGCCCAGGTAACAGGTACTGGGATAAACAGTACATGTCCTTTAAGAGACTGTCCTGGTAGAAAACTGTTGACACTTGACAGCTGCTCAGTGCCTAATGTGAAATGAGCTCTTGGTTACAGTCTATTTCTAGCCCTCTGATTGTTTACAAAGTACTGGTATCACTGTGGCATCTTAACACCAAGAGAAGTTTAAAGCACACTAAGAATGGACAGGGAACAGCCAGTTCAGTTCTCTGCCCTGCCTTGCTTCGGGAGTAATTCAAGCTTCAAGTTACCGGTACAAATGCATCCAAATATGTTAGTATGATACGCTCCACTGTAGACATGATTGTTCCAGAACAACCTTGAGACATTGCTGTTGCCTGAGCTGTCTATGTAGTGGAGATTAAAAAAAATAAGATAAATAAGAAATTTAAATCTAAAAATTTGATAAATTACAGAAAAACAAACAACTATGTTACGTATGAAGGAAATACTCCCATGTCACATCTGGGCCATAGGAAGACTCCACTAATGGGCCAGAAAGATAGTTTTATCAGTTGCCACATATGTATGTCATACATATTCAACTTCCACTGAACTATTCTCTCTCTCTATATATTTTTAGAATGTTTACTCTCTATATATATTCAACAGAACTTATCAGCTGTGTAAGACATCTCTGTTAGTATTCCCCCACCAAAGTTCAAGAGCTTACCCAGTGTAGCTTCATATTCATTCTTTATAGCTGACAGCAAGGGCTTGTAGGTCTTGAAGTTGTCTATGAAGAATTCAAAGATCTCTCTGTAGGGCTGAGAGAAGAAAGAGAGCTTGAGGAAATAGTGGCACATTTCTCAGAATTCAGATCGTTGTTGTCTTACACAAACAACATGACGGTGAGAATAAGTATAAGAATACTTCTACTACATTGTATTTGGTCTCTCCATCTCTGGTCCACAGTCCCAAATTTGTCATGCACAGGTGGAATGACTTCCAATGCTGATAGACACCACAGCATGACAGAGAGAAGAGATTTTAGTGCCAAAGAAAAGCTTTAATTAAGTCTGTCAGAGCACAGCTCCAAAACAAAAATGCTGCTCTTCAGATAGAACTGACTAGAACTCAAGTTACGATATGGACAATTTTAAAGATATGTAACAAGATCCCATTGCTGATTTTGTTGCCTGTTTTGTCTACTTAAATGACAAGCTCTTCAAGGCAGCTAGTCTCTTGCTGTGCAGGTGCCGTCCTTCTCACCAGAGTAAATCTTGTTCAGAGAGGACAGTCACACTCCCACGTTGTATCTGGGTCTTGGGAAGACTTCACTAGCAATAGGTAATATTCTCACTGAGTGTTCCTCACTATTAAGCACAATTAAACACGTCTTGTAGGACAGTCAAAAATATTTTCAAAGCATAAGCACGTTTATGAAACCTGTTTTCTCTTGCCATTAGTCACTCTTTATTTCTCTCCATTCTCTTCCATATACCACTTTCTTTCCTCATCGCTACAGGATTCCCTTGGGAATGAGAATTTGAATTAATTCATGCAGAGAAAATCCAATTCAAACTTCCCACACTGTGTAAATGCTCTAATTGCAGGATATTACAAAAACAGGAGTACTCCTACTCAGTGTTTTGAATTGAAGTGGTTTTCAATAGGTATGTTCTCAAACACAAGGAGCCCCCAGGATCAGATACAGTAGAAACTACTAATTTGGGGGATCCTGATTATGCTTAGGCAAGAGCTGAAGGAGAGAGTCCATTCTTGTCACTTGCAGAAACCTGACTTCAAGAATAAGAATTTTACAGTGAAAATTTTGGAATCCACACACTTTATGGGTTTAGGCAGGAGTCTTCAGGAGTTCAGTGAGTAAATTGTTTCACACCCACTTTAGATTACTGTCTTTTTGACTACTTGGCCTTTGATTAGAAAATGGAACAGTTACAGAAAATGTGAAGTACGCTACCCAACAACGTGTAAACCCAACACATAAACTACAACACGAGATAGAAACTGCTTTCTGAGCAAGTTCTCTAACGTGAGCTGCAAACCCACTTATCCAATACTACTCAGAGGTGCATACTTTTCCTGTCTATTTTCTTTAGATGAGCAGTTTAAATAACCAATCTCAGAATGTTGTTTCAAGTCAACAGAATCTTGTGTCAGACCTGTAACCTCAGTTCCTGGGCGTTCCTTTGAGTCAGGTCAAGATATTGCAGTTCTTTCCTTAAGTAAGACTCCAGCTGCTCCAAGTAGCGTGGCTTTGGAATGGTAAGAAGGGCCTGTTTATTGCTGCAGAGACACAGGAAAAGAAAGGACACGTAACCTTGTGTCATGTACATAGGATTGGACTCATAATAAATCAGCTTGAGTACCTTGGTTTTCTTCCTACTGTGCATTGCTTCACAGAAGAACTTTTTTTTCTTTTTTTTTTCTTTTTTTTTTCTTTTTTTTTTTTTTTTAACTGTAGCACTTATTATATTCTCTCATGTAAGGAAAAATCATGAAATGTACAGTGGATGATTTAAACTTCCTCTACGGAGCAGGAGACTATTCAAGACATCCTGCTGTTACTATGGAAAGTATGCCTTCCCCTTCATGATACTTTTTGGTAGAAAAAGACAAGTGAGTTTTTCTCTGTGTCCGAAAAGAATAAATGCTAATTACGTAATTGGAAAGAAGTCAAGGAAAACAAGTATTTCAAAAAAGGTACTGATAACTTATTACATCTGCTGAGGTCCTAGGCCAACTGTCCCTTTGCTGGATGCCATCATGCCTAGTTCATTATTACATTAAAAACAGAATTAAAACTGAGAAGCCCAGCTATCCTTAACTGTACCCTGCACAGCTGTCCTGCAGGTCTGTCAGGGCCCTGAGTACACCAACAGGCTCTGCAGTGGCCTCCCCTACCCTAGGGGCTTGGAGCTGTGTGATGGCAGAGCTCTAACTGGGGATCAGGGGTTAGGAATAGGCTCAGGCGTGAGACAGACCTGTGAAAAGCTTCCTCGGGGGACACTTTGCTCAGTGGCTGTAACCCAGCTCAGACCCTGGATTCAGAATCCCTTGATTCTTGTCGGAGAAGCAGGAGCAACGCTGCATCTGCCACAAGGGAGCTTGGACCCCGGGGTGACAAGGCAACCAGCAACAGTGACCAACGGGACGTGAACAAGAGAAGCAGAGCAGGTCCCCTGATGGTCAGTGATCATCCTTCATGATCACCACAAGCATGATGAAGGCCCAGTGCCAAGCTTGGGATGTCAAGTCAGCAGGCCAGGTACAAGACAGATGTGGCTGCAACATGGCTCAAGCAAGAAACAGGCAAACGTGCCTAAGTGAAGGCTTCTCACAGCTTTTCTTATAGCACCTGATCACAGGTTACCCAGCTGTGCCATATCAGGACTTGTCTTGAGCCCAGGCACCCAAATGTCTAGGACTGGACAGGTTGTGGAGCCTGTTGGGGCAGTCAGAGCCCTGATAGGATCCTATGAAATGTAGGTCAGTGAATCATTAAATGATAGCATTTCTTGGTACGTTTATACTAAGCATGGCTGCTGTTACATAAATATTTGACATCTCCCATAGAGCTTCCAGTCAGGACCAACAATATTTTTTGTTATGCTCAAGCTTTGTGGAATATCCCAACCTCAGTATTCTCACTGGTGCTGGAAGAGACCCTACTCTGTAAATTCTTGGTTTTCAAGAACCGCTTCCAGCTATCCTGTGGATTAGCTGTGCTTACCTAGGCATCCTCTCCTCTGGGGCACAGCAGGGTTTATGGTTCTTTAGGACAGTCTGCCCTGATGCAAATGCAGGCCATGTGGACCAACGGCCTCTAGCAGAAAGCTGAAAAGACTAAAAAGAGAGAAAGGATTAGGTTCTAAGAGCACTACAAAGAGGACAAAGAGACAAAATTAGGTTGAAATACCCTTGATAATGTCTCACAATCAATACAACTGCCTAAGAGTATGTGGAACAGAAAGAAGAGGGGCATACCGAAACTCTCCTCAGCCAGGAGTGAGCACACTGAAATCCAAGTAAACTTTTTGTTCTTTGAAGTAATCATCTTCCCACACCAGTACAATTTTTTAAACACCTCTGCACGTCTCCTGGTGGCTGTGCTGCCCAGACTACATGATTATGGGAAAGTGTTCATCTCTTTGGGTAAAAAAGGGTTTCATGATCTGCACTGGGAAATTAAAGCATCACACAAATCAGAACCTTGCATTAATCCAGATGAAACCCAAAGAACAGGTTTGACTTCGGTCTTGTTTCCAGTAGGGAGCTTTGCAGTGGAGCGTGTCCCATAGCGAGGGTGTCTTGAGCAATGCTGACTCGTGTGGATTGTGAGTTTTAAATGCAGGTTGGTGAACCTGCACAAACAGCTGGATTTCCAGCAGTGTAAAACTTAATGAAGATGAGGTCTGAGGAGCAGATTCATCTCTGAGGAACAGTAAAAAGTGATAACTGAAATTTCTTTCAGAAACTAATTTCTGCCCTTAGTGGCACTAAGGGACACGGTCTACTGATGGGATTCAGTACAGGTTGATGGTCTTGAAGGTGTTTTCCAACCTACATGATTCTATGATATCTTCTGAAAGCAAAATCTTGTTAATCTTAGGAGTCTGTTAATTAATTTATCTCTTGGAATTACCTCAGTATTTCTTTTTTGGGAAAAAAAAAAAGGACATTTATGCTGGATTGCTCTATTTTATTAGGGCAAACAAACAATTAGTATGATGTAATAGTATAAATATAAATATAAATAAATAAATATAAATAGTATAAATACTTTCCTATTCTGCCTGTAAGCTTTAAAAGAAAATTAATGTGCCAACAGAAGTCTGAGGCCAGAGATGTCACTGTCAGAACCCAAACTTCAGACTGACTAAGCCTTGAAACAGTTAAATGTAAAGGCTCAGAAGCTTAAATGCCTGATTTTCACTGCAAGAAGCATGAGGATTATATTGGAGAAACAGTGGGATTCCAATCTATTGAGATTTGATTTTTTGTTTTGTCCAATGAGGAAAATGCTTAGAGAAGGTCCCAGCTCTAGGGAAAGAGTAATACTTAAAGTTCTTGTATTCCTGTAGCACTTACAGCTTGTCACAGAAGTAGCACATTCCCGAAATACAACCAAAATGCCAATGAGAAAAAAACAACTCCAAAATAAAAATGGAGGGGTTAAGGTCTGTAAAAGTCGTTATTGCTTTGTTGGTGTACGTGTTTCTGGGATTTATTTTTTCATAATTTGGGTATGCTTTTTCTCCATGCTGGTTTATTTTATTTACTCAGACTGATGCACACTGTGGAGCAGATGTTCCTGTTGGCTGTAAGATGCTTTTAGCCTGCAATTAAACAACTTGTGGTTTCTTTCTTTCCTTAGTTTAAACTATATGGGTCAAATTCTGGCTGCAGTATTTGGCATGTATGTCCACACAACTTGTTGCAGCCAAGAACGACATTTATATTCCTCTTCTTTTTCCTCCACCCTTAAAGACCCTGTAATTAATTCACGAGGATGACACCTGAATCTGAAATACAGGAGTTTGCATCATGACACAGCTTCCGCCCCTCCCTGCCCCCCTTCGCTCTCAATTAAGCAAAATATAAAGATAATTAAAATTTGCGTGACTCCCTAATAGCTTTGGATGATCCCTGGGCTTCCAGCAAGACTCCACAGCCCACTGTTGGGCGGGGGCTGGGTGTTTGGCTGGAATCCTTGAACTCACCGGGGCCTTGTGTTTCTTTGGCAGGACGGATTTCAGGCTGTTGGGGTGCATTTGGCAATTTGTGGTCTCACGGGGAGATCCGAGAGGGACCCTGGGCAACAGCCGGGAAGAACATGGAATATCTTAAAAAAAAAACACAGAATTAACTGAATACACAGCTGGAGACAGAATCTGGCTGCTGTGAACCTAAAACAAGCAGCAAATCGGTCCCTGGATGCGGTGCGGTTGGGGACAATCGGGGAAACGCCGCCCCTGAGCCGGGAGCGGGGCTCTGGGCCCCAAAATCGCCTCAGAGCCGGGCCGCGGGGCCGGCCCCGCGCTGTTTACAGCCGTTGCCATGGCAACGCCCGCCCCCCTCGCCCCTCAGGACCCCCGCCAGCCGCCATAGGTGCCCCAATCAGCGCCTGTTGAGGCTCTCCACTCGCAGCGGCACCGCCGCTGCCCGGTCCCGGCCCAGCGGGATGTGGGCACTGTGAAGAGGCCGGGAGCGGGGTGAGGCCGGCGGAACGGCGCCCCCCGCGCTCCCCGCCGGCGGCCGGAGCCGGGCCCTGCGTGGAGGCAGGAGGAGGGCGCCGGCAGCGGAGCGGCGGCCTCTCGGTGCGGCGCCGCCGCGGGGCACGCTGGGAAAGCGAGTCCTGGACGCCGCTGTTCTCCGCAGAGCACAGCGGAGCGCGGACACATTTCCCAGCGTGCAGCGCGCCGGGCAGCGAGGCGGCGCCTCGCGCGCGTTGCCTTTCGGGACTTGTAGTCCGCCCGAAAGCGGGAGGCGGCGGCGGGGGGAGCGGCACGGACTCGGCTTCCCGTCGGGCGCCGCGGCCCCATTGTGGCCACGCTCGCTCCCCATTGGCCGGCGGCGGGAGCCGGGCCTCGCTCCCCGCCCGCTGACACAAAGCGGATCCAAGATGGCGGAGGCGGGCGCGGGGAGCCTGCACGGGGGGGACGCGGCGGCGGCGGCGGGGCCGGGGCCGGGCCCGGCCGAGGAGCAGGAGCTGAGCCGGCGCCTCCGCCGCCTCTACCCCGCCGTCAACCAGGAGGAGACGCCGCTGCCGCGCTCCTGGAGCCCCAAGGACAAGTACAACTACATCGGCCTCTCGCAGGGCAACCTCCGCGTCCACTACAAAGGTGCCGGGGCTGGGCCGGGGGCGCCGCGGTGGGCCCGGAGCGCGGCCCCCGGGCAGGGCAGGGCCGGGCAGGGCCCCCCCGGGCCCCTCAGCGCCCTCCCCCCCCCCCCCAGCCCCACGGCAGGGGCTGGGGCCGGGCTGCAGCCCCCGGGGGGCGCCTTATGTAACGCTGCGCAGCGCCCTGCGGCCGGCCCGGCCCCCACACAGGGCCCGGCTGGGGGCTCGGGGGGTCCCCGGGGCTGGGGGCCCTCGGGTTGGTGCCCGTAGGGGCCGGGGCTCGCTGCTGGAGGCTGTTGTTCCTGCCCTGCCCGTACAGAGCCGGGCGTAGCCTTGGGTGCCGGGTTGGGAAATGGTGGCGGCGGGGCCCCTGTTGTGTAACGGAGCCGTTCGGTGTCGGGGCACTGCGGGTGGGGGCGTGCGGGGGTCGCGCAGCGCCTCGTTCAGCCCCATCGGGGGTGGGGGGGGGGAACAAAGGGGAAGGTGCAGCGCTGGAGGTGGGGGCAGTGCGGGATCGCACATCCTGAGCCTCTGGGCAGCACGCTTTGGATGTGGGGGGAAAGAGATCCCGGCCAGGATCAGCCAGCAGGGCTCTACAACAAAACGTGAGAGGGTTCAAAGCCCGCAGGGACTGAGATCTTTGTTCTTTCCCAGGTCACGGTAAAAACCACAAAGATGCTGCCTCAGTCAGGGCCACGCACCCCATACCCGCAGCTTGTGGCATTTATTACTTTGAGGTGAAGATCGTCAGCAAAGGTAGAGATGGGTGAGTACCTCAGCCCGGCCTGCTGGGCGGTGGCGCGGGTTTCACAGCCCTGCTGTGCTCAGGCCTTCCCTTCCCGAAGGGTTGGAGGTCAGGCAGCTCTTACCTGGGGCTAATGGGCGAACGCACGGTCAGATCGCTCTGGAGGCAGAGGCACTTGCACAGCTTCTTAATGCGCAGCTGGATGTGGGCAGTTATGCAAATGGAAGAGATTCTGGGTGCCTGGCACAGCTTGATTTATAACACTCTCTTCTTGCTAGCTAGGTCTGGTCACTCAGACACCTGGCAGTAAAAAGAAGCGCTGAGCTATCACAGAGATGGCCGGGGGACCTAGCCCTAGATGGAATTCATAATAGACAGAAAAAATGCACTTTTTCTAGTTCTCTTCTTTAGTAGGGGAACAAACAATCTTTCTTGGGGATGTTTCTGTTGAAATGTGGGTGGGCTTCAAATTTAGCACGTGTGTTGATGGGAAGGGGTAAGCACCACTGATCACGGAGAAATGCTCTGCCCAAACTCCCGATCGGGTGATGACACGCAGCTGTTTTCATTAGGCTGCCTCATGGGAAGAAAAATTTGGAAATCGGGATCTAACTAATGAGTGCAGGGTTCATGTTTGGATCACAGCTCCTGATGACTCAAAATTGGAGTGCAGAATAAGGGAGGGACCTGAAAATTAATGTTGGGCTGTCGGAGAGATGTTTGCATGGGGAAGAGCAGGAATAGTGCTGCGAGAGTGCTGGAAGGAGAACGTCTGAGGCTGTTTTTAAACATCCTGTATACATGGTGAAGGAAAAGGTCTTGGGGAGGGAGTGAGGGGTGTGTGCATGTAAGCTGGAATCTGTGAAACTGACATCATTTCTGGTGGAGGTCCTGAGGTTGGACTCGAGTTGTTTTCTCAGGATAGATTCCATTGTGACAGATCACAACTGTGGAGGCTTGGGAGACTGTGCTGGATCCAGAATGCCGAATAAAAGAATGTTTTTCCTGACCAAATATATAAATATATATTTTACAGTAATATTTAACGCTGTAGTCTGTTGTTGAGACTCTGTTTGCCATATCAGTCTATGCTATTTTGAGTGGAAGAACTGCAAAAGCAGCAAGTCCTACATTAGAAGCAGCTGTACCTTACTAAGCGGTACCTCAGTGACCTGACCTGGCAGCGAGTTCTGGATCTCACCCAGTCTCGTGGTCACTGTATTGGGCATTATTTCACCCAAAATTTGGCTGGATCAGGATGTCTCTTGTGGAGTTTCTTTAAAAGCCTATTCAGGATTTGGGGGAATGTGGGAATGCAGCAAAGGGGTATTTCTGACGGGATTTGGGCTTCTGCTGGTAGTGTAGATCAGTTCTTAATTACCGTAAAGGCATCAACGTGCTTTGTGTGCATGTCTTGTTTTTTTCCATTGCTAAAGGCTGAATATCACAGCTACAGCCACCCAGAAGGTAAAGCAGACCAGGAGAAGGTTCTGAGTGTAATTAATTAACACAATCCTGCAAGAATAACATTTGAACTGTGGCCTGTTTACAGGTCTTAGGGCAGGGCAGCAAACATTCCCACTAGAAGCCAAATCAGTCCTAATTTCGTACTGTTGCTGTCACTGTTGAATTGAGAAGTGACCTGCTTGTAAGGGGACTTGCAAAGGATCTTCAGTGGTGCTGCGTTTGGTGCAATAATTGCAATAATTACCAACTGTGGAAGGTTAGCTGTGTGTATGTGAATTCTGGGCTGGATGCTTCATGAATGCTGGGAAAAGCCCTTCTCTGTTCTTTCAGTTCTCTGACTTGGTGTTGAACTGCTCATCTGTTTCTGAAACCATGCACTTGATTAGTTCATGTAGCTGCTAAAATTAAAATTATCTCCGGTGTGCATCAAGGCAGATTTCAGAGGAAGTCACTTTATGAAAGGTCACTGAGCAGCACTTAGTCCTTGTTGCGTTCCAGGTCAACGTTATGGGGAGATGATGGAATTTGCTGCATGCTTCCTAAGATCAGTTTTGTCTTTTTTTTGTTGTCTGTAATCCCAATTACTTCAGAAACAGTCTGGACGATATGGAACTGTGTGTATTAATGTTATAGCAACATGAACACGAGATGTTGATAGCTACGGTCTGAAGGCAGTGCTGTGGTGAGCCATTGGAGAGCTTCACTTATGTCTTGGCCGCTCTGGTGCCTTGCTTTTCTTTTCCTGGTGGAGAGTGCTCCGATATTTATTGTTGTGGTTTTGGGGATTTGTAATTGTGACCTTATAGCTGCTGCCTGTCCCTTAAAGCTTGCTCTTGTGTGTCTCATTTTAACAGTTTGAAGGCAGCCCATTGGGGCCCCGTGTGTTCTGATGCCAAACCGTCAGCAACGTCTCTGTTCTTAGGAAGCTCTCCAGTGTTTATTACACCGTGGTGGCTTCAGTTTAAAGGAATTAAAGGCCAGAAATCTAAAGAAGGGGTTGGAGGGAATGAAAGGAAGTTTCCAAGTGGCATAAGTGGTGAGGCCTGTCCCTAGGAACTTCACTGGAAGCCTCTGAGTGAGGGGAGAGCAAGAAGGATCTTCCTGAGCTCATTTTCAGAATGGGCTTTTCAGGTGTAAAGTCTCTGCTTGGTACCTTGTTTTTTTGTGCTGCTTGGAGCAGTGAGGGGAAGGTTATGTGATGTTATACCCATTGTGTCTCTGCTGCTGGAGCTTGTGAAAGCTCTTCACATTTGGTTTAAAATCTGAGCAATCTGGTTGCTGAACAAGACTTACTCAAATACTTTGGTCGAATGAGTTTCAGAAAGTGTGCTTTCAGGAGTTACAATTGATTTTGCTCGAGGGCTTTTGCTCGGTAGCTCGAAGCTGTCTTTCAGTGCTAATAAATCTGTTAGCCTAATGCTGTGTGCCCTGCTCAGGTGCTGACAGTTGTTAATGCACAGCAGAAACTGAAGTTGCAGGTAAGAAACAGGATAGAAGTGACATTTACTGGCGGTGTAAGGACCCTGAAGCTCAGCAGATGACTTTGTTTTTATTTTTTCCTGATGAGATGTTGCCTCTGTAGGGCACGTTGTGGTACAGCAAGGGCTCCTGAACTGACATCAGACCTGGGCAGTTCTGCATAGGTGGAGTCGCTGAGGTGCAGAGCAAGCTGAGAAACTTCTCCCATCGGTTGTTTTCATGGGGTGAAGGTGATCTAAGTGAAGTGTGCTGTGGTTCCTTCCTTTGTTTCCTCCCCACCTCACTGCATCCTTGCTGCAAAATAAAAGCCCCCCCAGCCCTGCTGCTTTTCAGGCAGATCCCTTACCTGCTCGCTTTTGCAAACCCCAGTCCCAGCACGAGGGAAGAGGGAGGGACTGCGGCAGCGCAGACACCGGTTGCTTCAACCTGCCATGGCTCTGCAGCCACAGCTGGCAAAAAAAAAAAGCTGCTTTTGTGTTGTCTTTCTCCCTTGCCCTTTAAGTTTAAGGCACCTGCTCCGTAAAGGTGGTTTTGTTAATGAAGCAAATGGAGATGTTTACAACAACTTGCCCTTTACCATCTCTGGACTTTTCTGCCTCGGCACTGCTAAAATCTAGCTTGCTTTCCTGGCTGGTCTTTCAAAGCAAATTAGCAGCATGCGAAAAGTCCGTTTGGTGCACTTAAACTTTTAAGATTCATCAGCTCTTCTTAGCTTTGTGTTTTCCCCTGCTCATGCTGAGATACAGCCACTGCCTTTCCAGTTAAAGATGGTTGAGACTCACCTTTAGCTGAACAGCAGTCATTTCTCATCCTGTTGGTTTTAGCCTTTACTGATGCGGCATCGCCTTTATTTACTGTTTCCTTTCCCTGGGAGAGGGGAAGCTGCCAGACTACCATTGATAAACTGGTCCTGTCCTTCGTGTAAAAAAATCAGATCTCCCAGTAGGTCGGCCTGTTGGTTGTGATACCGTTTGGGGAGGTGCTTCTTATCCTTGGAGAGTAGAGCTGAGTTCAGCTTACGCTCCCTACCAGCAGTTGCAGCCCTCTTCTCGCCTCCTTGTCTGCAGTGAGCAGGCAGGGAGTGGTTCCACCAGGCTTTACCACGATACAGGGGAAAACCCTGGGCTCTGCCCTGCCACTCGCCTCGTTTCCGTGCCTTCCCTCGTGCTCGCAATCTGTTACCCAGTTTTGTGGGGAGCTGGTTCAAGGAGATAGCTGGTTGAAAACTGGCCACGGCAAAATAATTAGAATGATTTAACCTGCTGACATCAGTGCCAGAAATTGCTGTTTTTTTTTCCCTTCCATAAGGACTGCTCCTCAGGGCTCTGCTCTCAGACACAGGTTAAAGGAGAGACAGTCAGGAGTTGGGCTGAGCTGGGGAAGAGAAGGATTGTAGCCCTCCTGTAGTTCAATTCAACCTCTTGTTGGATGGTTTTCTCTTAAGGCTTGCTGGGGATTTAATTTTTTGAGCCCTTGTGTTTGTTGCTTGATGGGATCAACAGGACGAGAGGCAGTGGTTACAAGGTGCAGCAAGCTGAGCGCCAGCTGGGCACAAGAGAATTTTCCCTGTGCAAATGGTTCAGTGATGCTGGGACGTGGTGCATCTGGAGGGGCTGTGCCATCTCCATCTCCACGGCTTCCCTGGCCAGACCCCGGGCTGCTGGATGGGAGTTTGCTGTGCTCTGGGAAGGAGGATGGAGGAGGAGGAGGGTCCCGCGGTCCCTTCTGCTCCAGCCCTCTCGGTGGCTCCACAAGTGGCTCCCTTCCAGCATTCTTTGAACAGTCCTGCAGAAACGGCCGTGCCCCTTGTGTTCCTGAGCTGCCACAAATAACTCCTGCTTTTATCACGGTGGCTCAACCTCAGCTATATTTGAAGGTGCTGGACTTTCACGCTCCCTCTGTGTGCAGCGTGTTTGTGCGCCGCTGGTTCGTCAGCGCACCTTCCCCAGTCGGATGTTCCCCCCTTGGTAAACAGGAGCGGTGCCTGTAAGACTCATCAGGGTAGGGCAGCCAGCCCGTGACTTGGAGGCTTTTGTGACTCAGAAGGGCAATTTGGCTTTGTTAGCCTCTTTAAC